CGCCCCCACCGCCCGCGCCCGGCCCCGGCGCGCTGCCCCCCGCGCTGCTGACGGCGCTCGGGCCCGCGGCCGAGGGCGCCCGGCGGCTGCACAAGTCGCCGTCGCTGTCGTCGTCGTCGTCGTCCTCGTCTAACGCCGAGTCGGGCACCGAGAGCCCGGGCTGCTCGTCGTCGTCCTCGAGCAGCGCCTCGCTCGGCCGGGCGGGCGGCGGCCGCGGCGGCGCCTTCTTCCACTTCGCCGACGGCCCGCCGAGCGCCCCCGGCGCGGCCAACGGGCATCCCGGGCCGCGCGGCCCCGCGCCCGCCGGCTCCCCGCCGCAGCACCAGTTCCACCCGGGCCGCCGGAAACGCGAGAACAAGGCCAGCACCTACGGCCTCAACTACCTGCTGTCGGGCAGCCGCGCGGCCGCGCTGAGCGGAGGGGGCGGCCCCGGAGCCCAGGCGCCGCGGCCCGGCACGCCGTGGAAGAGCCGCGCGTACAGCCCCGGCATCCAGGGGTGAGTGCGGGCCCCGCGCGGGGCGGGCCGGGCTCCGGCTCCGGCTCCGGCTGCGGGCCGCAAGGCTTCCCCTGTTCCCAAAAAATGAAATCCCTCTTGGGAAGGAGCGATCGGCTGCTCGGATCCCCAAACTGGCAGTGCAGCCACGGGGCCGCTGAACGCGACCTGTAATCCTGGAAGCGGGTGTCAGATGCTTCACCCTTTTCCCGCTCCCCAAGCCCTCTCAGGGGCCCTTTGTCAAAGTGGGGTGCAGATGGGGGTGGAGGTTTATGTCAGCGGCAGACGGTTTTACTATTGCCGGGAACTTGAATCAAGTGGAAGGCAAATCTGGTGAAATAATAACTTTTTTCTTTTTGAGAAGATCCTTTTGGGAGATGATTCGTTTTTGTTTTTGTTTTTTTTTTTTGGGGTTTTTTTTTTTTTTTTTTGGTACTGATGAACTTTAACCGACAGTGCATTTAGAAGTAATTTTTTTGGGTGAGGGCTTTAGGATTTAATTTTTTTGCAGAAATTAACGTAGAATATCTTTTTTAGTTTTTAAAAAGTAGTTGATAGCCTTCAAAGAAGACAAAAACGTTTGTAGCCTGTGTTCTTTGAAAGATGTTTATTTTAAATGCTTCCACGTTGGCCTAGAGGGGATTAGAAGTTCTGTTTAAGTTTAGTGCAGTTACAAATGACAGGGACTGGTTAAAAGAACAAAAGGTGAGGGGTGGGGCGGGAGTGTGGGTTGAAGCACTCCCAGGTGAGGCTGCTCCGGTGGGAGAGCTACCTACCCAGCCCTTTGCCTTCCTGTGCTTTTCAGAGCACCTGGAAACAAAGCATTTGTACATAGATTTTATGTCAGTATTTCAAGACTTAAATCATAAACTTTCTTTGCAAGTTGCATCCTGATTTAAAAGCTGCCTAAGCATTTTCCAGGGTAGTAGGATTGTTTACAAATACTGTAGTTTTTCAAATCCAGCAATTGCTAGATACTGAGATGACTTCTTAAAGTAACTCATTTTTCTTATAAATCTGTTTATTCGACTTGGAAAATACTAAGTTGATACTGCTTTAAAGCAAGTGAGATACACCCTAAGAGCTTCTTGTCCTACAATTCGTTTCACCTGGTTTGGGTTAGAAGCGTTACTTTCTTAAATGTCCCGAAGCCCCAGAGTGTGCATTTCCGCCCCAGGTAGGAGTCTTCCTCTTCTTGCTTCTCTCCCCCCAGTCCCTACTTGTCTGGCTGTCCGAGACGGGGTGGTGGGGAGCTATTTCTGGATGTATAGCATCATACCTGAGTTCCTTGGTGGGGAGGCCGGGGGGTGGGGTGAGGCCTGCAGGTTTCCAGCCTGTCATGTCCCTGGGACTGACTCTGTGTCTTAGCACTAGGAAAATTGGAAGACATGTGGTCTTCACTTGTGGAGCATTTTGGGGTCCAGACGGTCCCAATTCTTGCTTCCTCCGTGAGCGGCTGGCAGCGGCGGAACCATGCCCTTTTGCAGATTACTCAGGCCCTGGAGCCTGTTTTCAGTAAGCTTCAGTATGTACGTTACTCTTGTTTTTTTTTTTTTTTTTTCTTTTTTTAAGATTTTATTTATTTGGGAGAGAGAGCGTGCATGCCCACACCTGGGGGGGAGGACAGGGAGCCGAGGGAGAGGGAGAAGCAGGCTCCCCACTGAGCAGGGAGCCCAACTTGGTTGGGCTTGGTCCTGGGAGCCTGAGACCCTGACCTGAGCCCCCAGGCACCCCAGCTGCTGCTGCTTTTATTGAAGAATGAGCCCGCTAAGTACCAGTTCTTTGTTAGGGTCTGAGGCAGTGATTGCCTGCAACACGCCTGTCTCTTGATCCTGGCTCTGAACCCTGGAGCTCCATGTGAGTGCCCCTGCCCAGCACACACTAGCACAGCGTCCTTGTCCAGCTGTGCAGACCTTCCCTCCTCCGCGTGCATCTCCCCAGTCTGGTCTTCCATCAGATCCTCTGCCCTTTCTCTTTACCCTCATGCAGATCGGTCACCTCTAGTGGAGATTGCTCCAGTGGCCCGAGGTGGTTCTCTTACACACACTGTTGCCGGCCTCTGGGCCTCCCCCACAACTGCCAGTTGGGATAATCTCCTCCATCAGCAGGTTTGGTCAGGTCTGAGGCCTTTAGAACCATGTGATGGTGTCTGTGGGGTCCTTCTGAGGTTAAAGACTGAAGCCTGAGACTCTCAGCATGCCTCCAGGCGCTACTGTTCTGGGCCTTGCCCCTCTGAGGGTCCTCCCCCGCCACCCCCTGCTGGCCTGTGAGATTTCTGCTCAGAGGCCACCTGTAGGGTTGAAGAGTAGCTTCTGAAGCAGCGGGTTCCACGTCATAACTTACCTGACTAGGAGCCAGTGCAGTCGTGCTCCTGGTAATGCTCCTTTTTTTCTCCTTGGCTGCCCACCCTTCCTCGCCTGCCTCTGTGGGTGATGTGTACCCCTCGGGGTCTGTCCACTTATTGCCGTTTCTGCCTGGAGGAGGCTGCTGGGATTGCCTGCCGGGCACCTAGAAGGGTGGGGTGCCTCTGCTTGGTTTGCTACTCTGAATGCTTCTTGCAGGCCGTAGTTTCAGGAGGGACAGGGCAGAGGAGTAGTAAGGCAGAGGAGCACTTAACTGTGGAGCTCAGCCTGTGGTCAGAGGAGGGAGATGTTCCTCCTCGTGATCCTTTCCATGGAGGTCCGCTGGGCTTCTAGCAGCTACCTTTTTGGTATCAAGAAATTAGCCTGTCTAGAACTTGGTGCTGTCCACCAGCTTACTCAGAGCGATGAGGAAGGCCACCACCATGTGTTTCATCTGTAGCTCAGAAGGGGAAAGAACTGTGATAAGACAGCCCTTGGCCTGGTCAGTAGAAAAGAGCCTTGTTGAAGAGCAGTGGCTCGGGCTTATTGTGCAGGCCCAGGACGGGCATTTCTGGACGGACCGTGTCTGTAGTCCTTAAGAAAGGATGAGCAGTTGCCTGATGCTGTGGGAGCGTGAGTAGCATCAGCCGAAGCCAGTCGGGCGTTTGCGTGGTAGCCCGTGGAGCAGCCTGTGCTGTTTGCTCTTTTCTGGGACAGAGGACTCTGCCCTTGGAAAGTGTACTGGTGGCCTGGCCCCACAAGGTTGCCAGTCTGCTTTCAGCCCTGAGCAAGGTGAAGAAGCTAGCCAGTGGAGGAGGATGGGGGTCAGAACGGGAACCCTCAAAGCCTGGAAGGGAAGTGCTCGTTTTGGAGCTGCTCTACTTCTTGTTCCATGTTTCCGTTGAACTCTCAAACTTTTGTTTTGGGAACGGTATAAAATGTGCCCTCTTCCTGGGCTTCTGACTTAGAGACGCAGGCAGCTGTGGACGGGCTTCTGGGCCCTGCGCTTCCCAGCCTCCGGTGCCTGTCACCTTCACATGCCCTCACCTCCACCCCCCTGGCCCAGCGAGCTGTTGATACTTTGCCCTGGTCAGTCCTGACAGCTTCAGAAACCTCGTCAGCTTAAAGGCAAAGAAAAGTCCCAGGTGAGGAAGGGTGGGAGCTTGGAGCCCAGGTGCGTCGCTGCATCCTTTCTGGTGCCCTGTAGGGTCCCAGGGAGAGCGTAATGGAATGAGGGAAGGCCCCCAGCCTTGGGCAGGCACTTGAAGGCGGGCACTTGCAGGCTGGACCCTGACCAGGCTTCCACGTGGGCTTTTGGCCTGCCTGCATCGCGCAGCCGTCAATGCAGCATCCTTTCTGCAGGGCCCTCAACAGCGTTGAATTTTTTGACATCTTCTGTTCACTCTAAGTTCAGCTCTTCATCTGAAGTTGGTGAGAAACGGACCCGTGTCGTTCATAGGATGGTTAGCCACATCCCGCAGGACTCCATGTGTGTTGTCTTCACTTTGTTCGGAGAGTCAGAGCCTGGAGGGGTATCTGGGATTCCTCCTCTCCCTCCGCTTGCAGCCTGACTTGGCACAAAGTGGCGCACAGGTGACCCCCCTCCCCCAGCGCGTCCTTGTGGGGACCCAGCGGCAGGGCGCAGGTGAGAGCCCAGCAGGGCCCACGGCAGATGACAGCATGGTCACTCCTGTTGCCTCTCAGTCCCGTCTCCGCCTGGACACATCACGGGCCACGTGGGAGAGGTTAGCGCAAGACCTGCCCTGCAAGGTGATGGTGGCACACACGGGCCTTGTTTCCTCAGTGTTCATCATTTGCAACCCCCCAGCTATAAGGTTGCTGTGGACGGAAGCTGTGCACATTTGTTGCTGCGCTGACCATGTGAAATTAGCTCCTCCTCAAAGGTCCCCCGCCCTGGAACAGTATCGCTTGTTCCTGCCTGGTATGAGTGAGATCGAAAATCTAGTGTGGGTTGCAGGCTGTGATGAAGTTGGGGAAACTTGCGCCTGGTCGCTGAGAAGTGAAGCTGGACACAGTGAGGACTGCCGACACTCAAGGAAGGGGTTGCCGAGGAGGAGGGCAGGACAGAGGCTCTGGAAAAGGATTGGAATATGAAACAGGCTGCAGGAGTCCTTGGGGAAGGTAGAGACCTCCAGTGTTTTTTGCAGAAAGTGGCCTTGGTAATGCTTATGCTGCAAAAGTCACAGTGGGGTGGAGTGGACCCCAACTTGCTGCCGGCAGCTTGTGAAGGAAAAGCAGTACCACAGCAATGCCATTTGCTTCTTAGAAATAACATGGTTGTGATTGAGTGCCTTGGAAGGTAATTTTTCAGTAAATATTTTAAAGTACCAATTTTTCATAACTTTAGGATTTTCCAGACCTCCTTTGGGTCGCTATTTAGTAAGAAATTTTGGTCCCCATTGTAAATGGAGTCATGTACGTCCGATGGGAGGAGGCATCATGGTTATCCTGGAAATGAGGACTTTTTTATGTTGTTTAGGATCTGGTTTTTTTTTTTTTAGTTACCGGATAAAGAGGGCTGTAAAAAAAACAAGACAAAACAAGCAGCAGCCTGTGATGTTGAAGTTGAGAAACCTGGTGTTGATGCTGCACCAGTTCGCAGGCTGACAGGTGAGGGGTCACGGTGTCATGCTCACTGGC